GGTGATCCGAGAGTGATGAGCGACAGAGTGATCCTTGGTGTGAAAGTGGTGGAGCGTGGGAGTGAGGAGCCACAGAGTGATCCTTGGTGTGAAAGTGGTGGAGCGTGGGAGTGAGGAGCCACAGAGTGATCCTAGGTGTTAGTGGACATTTAGAGCTGCAACAGCACTGCTGTCTTTTCTCAAAGGTGACTTAAATTCCCAGGGAAGTAAACTGCTATAGTCCTGCCTCTGGTTAGAACACTGTGTGGCTCTCCAACATAGGACTCTGCCCCTGATCCAAAGGTCCAATCCAGTAACCATTACAGTGATTTCAAGGTTGGGCCCCTGTCGCTGAGCAAGGCTCTTAATGCCCACTTGCGCAGGACTATAGCAGTTTACTTCCCTGGGAATTTAAGTCACCTTTGAGAAAAGACAGCAGTGCTGTTGCAGCTCTAAATGTCCGCGTTTTCTCAGTTGCAGGTCACTTTGGAGGAAAGAAGCCAGTAAATAAATAAATGTAAAGGAAATTATTCTCTGGTCTAAGAGTTTTAACAGTATATTGCATAGTGGCGTAGATAAGGATGGCTGTTTCACAAAATAAAATGAGGCAAACAAAATACAGCATTTCTATCAAACAATATTTTTACTTGGTAGTTTTCCTTAAATGCTAATCCCTCCCCTCCCCCAACAAAGCAAGACTGCCCAAGAAACAGGCATAATAGGTTCATAAACAACCTTTTTAGAGCATTTCAGCAGTGATTATACCCCTAGTGTATAGCTAATGGCTTGTGATGAGAAAGGCTTCTTTAGGGGGATGTAAAAGTAAATACTCTGCATTTATTCTTATTTTTCTATGGTATGACTTTTAGATTTTCTAATGTAAGAAGAAAATGTTTAGCTTTCCCAAGAAATACAAAAGAGAAGATAGTCACAAGGGGAATTGTGGTTGACTTTCATCTATCAGTTGTAGAAATTCACACATTAAACTTACCCTGAGTATATTTGTCAAATGCATGTTTAAAAAAGGGCGAACGGGGACATCCAGTTGGGAAATGTTCTGCCTGAATACCTGAACAGATATGTCTGTGTGTGTCTGTGTGTGTGTGTGTGTGTGTGTATGTGTGTGTGTGGATTATGTTTTTATTACATTGTGGGGATCAATGTAATAAAAACCTGTTATATTGACCTTGTGTGAACTGTTATTCTGGTCCCCACAAAGATCTGTGAAAGCAATCAAAAAACTAAATATTTTGTTTGGTTACTCATGATTAAGGTCAGGGCTGGGTAGGGGTTAAGATTGTCATGTTGGGATTAGAGTTTTCCCCATAGAAATGAATGGAGAGTCCCAACAAAAATAAAATTAAAAACCTGTGTGTGTGTGTGTGTGTGTGTGTGTGTGTGTGTCTGGAGGGCGGCTGCCTCGAAACCCTTTAGGCTAATCTGATTGGCTGTGACAGCAAAGAAGCCTCACCCATTGGTTTAGTGTCTGTGAAACCAAGATGACAGGTATCAGTAATTAGGATGCTGCCACTTACTGGTTCACTCTCTCCTATTTAATTATCAGTAGGTGGGGGGGAGCTGTTTCAATGATAGACGGAGGTGCAAAATGTTGACCCAACCCCTGTCTTACCCTTAGCCTTCTTCCCAGTTGATTGAGCAATAAAACACATTATTGCCATCATTCTCAACAGACCATGCGTGGAGAACAGACAAGCAAAAGGGTGGGTGAGGGGGTGGGTATTACATAACAAGCAAATAAAAGCCACAGCACAATGCTTCTTTTCATGGCTACTTTTGGGGGAGGGGGGGTCCTCTACTTTAATTCACAGCCAGGACCAAACAAGCATGTCTGTCCCATCCTGGTCGGCTGAAAAACAAACCTAGTGTTTTCTACGTCTTTTTTATGAGACATCTCAAAGTCTCAGTTCTCCAGTGTCAATGCGGCCCATGGCCATGGGTCTCTAATGGCACATGCAGCATTATGGGAAATGCGACGTCCACATGCTTCGATACAGCACCACAGCATGTAGCTCACTTCCTGTCTGGTAAATAAATAAATATGTAGGGGCACGTTCCTTCGTACAAAACAAAATGAGATAAGACAATGCATTCATGCAGAAGTAAACAGTCATTAGCAAACTGCCAAGCATTACAGGAAGGGCACCAGGAAGGACAGGAAACAGAAGCACATGAGGTAGAGGTGGAGGAAAAAGAAAGGGGTCTTTGTTTAGGGGCGAGAGTGAAGATGGGTCTAAACAAATTAGTGTAGCTTGGCGAGAACATGGGAAGCCACTGAAATGAGCGCAACAGGATGGTATATAGGGTCTTTACAGGGGTTGCAGAAAATGAAAGCCAGTCTTATGTAATCGCTGGGAATAAGAAACAGGTTAGTGCCAAGAATGTCTGCAGCAAACTGTCAAAAACCTGTTCAGCCTTGGCCTGCAAACCAGCTGTTTATTTGACCATTGACTGCATTTCCTGTGGAGATCCCCAGGGGGCAGGAGTGAGATCTTTCTGCTGTTAGCTGGACATGGGGAAGAGCACATGGGTAATACCTACACTATCAAACAAGCAAAGCAATAAGCTGTGTTTCCTGCCAGGAGATGCAGTTATATAAGAATAGCAGAAATACCAACTCTGAGTTTTTACAAACACAATGACATTAAGGTGCTTTTTGAAAGCAAAAGGCCTTTTAACACTAACACAGACCTTTCCCTGAAGTAATGGTCTCGTGTAATTTTGTTCCCCGACACAGCCAAATATTCAGAATTGCTTTTTAGAGGGATTGCAAAGACTTCATCAATGCAAAAATGTTTAATAACTACAAAATTCTCCTAATGTGGCACTGGGCAGCCCCAAGATTATTGACAAACACTTTTTAGCTGGATACTCCGTGGCATTTTGGTACAGTTAATAGGTTAGGGTTAGGCTTAGGTTTAGGCTTAGGCTTAGGCATAGGCTAGGGGTTAGGGTTAGGCTGAGGATATACTACAACAACT